AATTTTATCCTCATCATTGGTAGGGACCCTAGCCTTGGCCATAAGCTTTGTGATAAGGGCCGGAAAGCCTAGGCGTGAATGCGTCCTCTGAGAGGCGGCCAAAATAGATGTATGAATAATCGGCCCGATGTCGATTGGCAACTCTCACATGATGCAATAAAGGAGGACGCATCGGTCCCTTGCGAGTGTACTATCATGAACAGTGGGGATTAAGTTGTGTCGCAAAAACTGAAACCAAAGTCCCGCCTCCTTGTTGAGATGGCAGGCCAAAATAATTTGGCATCGGTTGTCCCTCGACCATTCTTGATCGGGGAGCGTAAGGAGGGATGCGATATCATCATCGGCAACTTCTAAAGTCTCTTTCATAATCTGAGAAAATGAGCATTTCGGTGGTGGGATGAGTCCAAGGGCCGCATTAAGCTTCGGCCCCGACCATTCAACTTTTCTACCCCGAATGGTCACCGAAATGCTCTTGGTGGTGCCAACGGCCGCGTAAAACTCGGTAACCCAAGATACGTTGGCCTTTAACGGGGAAACCACCAAATGGTTCTTGATAGACATAAAAGAGTTGACCAACCGTGGGTCAAAGGCCTGTTCGAGAAGGATTTTGTTATGTTTAATGCGGTTGTACCTCTCTTGAAATGGTATCACTTTGTCTTTCGTTTTCTTTGGGGCTTGTTGCTTCTTCTGTTTTGCTGCCGCCTTTCTCTTTTTAGAAGGTTTTGATTTACTGACTTCCAAAACCTCCACTTCTAGAATTTCAACTTCCTCCCTTTCCTCAGTTTCCTTTGCCACATCTTCAACATTTTCTAAATTCTGGGCCATCTCATCCTCATAATCACTGTCTTCAGGCACTGGTTTTGGTATTGGTTGCGGAATAACAGACTCTGAGCTTGAAATTGCAATACTTCCTGATGAGGATTTGGTGCTCACAGTTTGCCCACTGGGGGCAGTGACTGGTATGTCCTCAATAGAAAGTTCATTTTCTGTTTGAGTCTTTGGGGGTTGCTGTGGTGATTCTTCTATGGACTCAGGAACAGCAAAAGGGAATAAATCCTTAGGATTAGTAGAAGCATTTACTTCAAAGTCAAAATGGAACTCCTCCCCTAAGGTATCACTAAGGTTAAGGTCGAAGTCATGTATGGTGGGTGGGTCGAGTGGTGTAGATGGTAGGGGAGTAGGAGTTTGTTGAGTGGGTGTAGGGTTAAGAGGCGGTGGAATGGGGGAGGGTGTAGGAGTGATAGATGGTGGTACGGTTAGGGCTAGGAAGAGGGGTTTTGGTGTTGGATGGGGAAGGGTTACGACGACCGGCGGTCATGAAGTAGACGGACCGGCTCCGGCGGTGGTGGTGTGAATAATGGTGGAAGGGGTAAATATATTGGTGAATAAGGGAGGAGTTCGAGTAATACTTACCGGCGTGACGACCGCATGGTGTTTGTCGTAGTCTACCCGAACGGTTAATGAATGACCGGTGCCGGCGGTGGTCAAATGTCTCGCCGGTGGTGCAAATGCAATGGGATCCGGCAAAAGAGGCGCTGAATGCATTGATGGAGCGACCGGGGGTGCAACGGGAGCGGCGAAAGAGGAGTCTCCGGCGACAGCCCGCCGAGTAGAGCGCCGAGTAGGGAGTCGGCCGGATGGGTTTTTTCGAGTTCTTGCCATGGAAGAGAGAAAGGGGAAGATGAATAGTAAAAACAATGTGTTTTTCCCCCCTTTTCATAGGTAACCGGCGGTTAAAGCATAGGGAATCGCCCCCTTTCATGCAAAACCCTTTGTGTAAAGCCTTTTGAATTAAAAAAAATGTCAAAGTACAAGTCAAATTATCTTACACAGGCCTCCATATTCAGAAAACCCATCATTTTTTTTCAAAAAAAATCCCATTTCTTTTACTAATTTCCCTTTTTCTTTTCCTTGGAAGATCTTCCACAAAAACCCACCAATATTCAAAAATCTACCAAAACCCACCTCAGAATGTGAGCATGAGATGCTTACTGTGAGCATACCTGCATGAAATAAACATAAAGTACGAAAATTAAAAATATTTACAATATTTACAACAGAAGGTTCGACAATCTTTCAGAGAGATTTTTGGCGTGGATCTTGCATTCCTTCTGGGAAGAAATGTTTGAACCGATGCCCATTTACTTTAAAAATCGTATTGTCTTGTGGGTTCAAGAGATCGATAGTTCCAAATTTTCCCACTTCAACAATAGTGAAAGGTCCCGACCATCTAGATTTGAGTTTCCCAGGGAAAAGTCTCAATCTAGAATTAAAAAGAAGCAATTTGGCATTCTCGTAGGCTTGTTACCTCCATTCTTCCAACTCATTGAGTTGGAGCTTTCTTTTCTCTCCCGCTAGAGTTGCATTTAAATTAAGTTCCTTAATAGCCCACAATGCCTTATAATCTAATTCTAACGGAAGGTGACAAGATTTTCCAAAAACGAGTTGGTACGGAGACATGCCCAATGGAGTCTTGAAAGCGGTACGGTAGGCCCAAAGTGCATCATCCAATTTAAGCGACCAATCTTTACGGTTTGGCTTAACCATTATTTCTAAAATATTTTTTATCTCACTATTCGAAAGTTCCGCAAGACCATTGGTTTGCGGGTGGTAAGCCGTGGCTACTTTATGTCGGATGTTGTACTTTTCAAGATTGGCACTTAACACTTTGTTTATGAAATGAGTCCCTTCATCGCTTATCAATGCTCGAGGTGTTCCAAAACGAACAAAAATGTTTTTATGCAAAAAGTCCACTACCGTTTTGGCATCATTTCTTGGACAAGCCTTTGCTTCTATCCATTTGGAACCATAGTCTATCGCAACCAAAATGTACTGATTGTGAAAAGACAGGGGAAATGGTCCCATAAAGTCAATACCCCAAACATCGAAAAGTTCGACTTCCAAAATATTGTTCAAGGGCATCTCAGTTCTTTGGGACAAATTTCCCATGTGTTGGCATTGGTCACAACTCTTCACAAATTCAAAAGCATCTTAAAACATGGTGGGCCAAAAAATACGCTTTGTAAAATTTTAGCGGCCGTACGTTGTCCACCAAAGTGGCTTCCGTACGGTGATGCATGACACTCTTTTAATAAAGCTTGGATTTCATCATCCGGGACACACTTTCTCAAAATTTGATACGATCCCAATTTAAAAAGGAACGGATCGTCCCACAAATAATGCTTGCAATCGTGAAGAAATTTTTTAAACCAATTTCCCTGAAAATGATATGGTTTAAGGCCACATGCAAGATAGTTGGCAATATCTGCATACCAAGGATTTTGTTTTTGAAAACTATGTTGTATGGCCAAAACAAATTCATCAGGGAAAACTTCCTTAATCTCATGACTCCCCCCACTTGATACATTTCCCTCAATTCTAGAAAGGTGATCAGCCACTTGATTGTCACTTCCCTTTCGATCAACAATCTGAAGATCAAATTCTTGCAATAAAAGAATCCAACTAATAAGTCATGGTTTCACATCAACTTTGTTAAATAAATACTTTATAGTAGAATGATCTGTATGAACAGTGACTTTGGTACCAATCAAGTATGAACAGAAACGATCAAAAGCAAATACTACCGCAAGTAATTCTTTTTCCGTGGTGGTATAATTTATTTGGGCTTCAATAAGAGTCTTACTTGCGTAGTATATGGGGTGAAAATTTTTATTTTGCCTTTGTCCCAAAACGGCACCCACGACCCAATCACTTGCGTCACACATTACCTCAAAAGGTAGGGACCAATTTGGAGTAATGATAATGGGTGCCGAGACAAGAGCAATCTTGATTGTTTCAAAAGTCTTTTTACAATCGGAGGTGAACTCAAAAGCTTGGTCGACATGCAACAAGTTACATAAGGGTTTTACAATTTTTGAAAAATCCTTAATAAACCGTCGGTAAAAACCCGTATATCCCAAAAAACTACGAATGCTTTTGACTGAAGTAGGTTCGGGCAATTGCATTATCACTTTTTTAGCTTTGTCAACTTCCAAACCTTTCTTTGAAACCATGTGACCCAAAACAATTCCCTCTTGTACCATAAAATGGCATTTTTCCCAATTTAAAATCAAGTCATGGGTCTCACATCTCTCCAAACTYTTCTTCAAATTTTCAAGACAATTTTCGAAATTAGTGCCAATAACCGAAAAATCATCCATAAAAACTTCCATAGTGTCCTCAATCATATCCGAAAAGATAGACATCATACATCGTTGGAAAGTGGCTGGAGCATTACATAAACCGAATGGAATACGTCGGAAAGCAAAAGTTCCAAAGAGACAAGTGAAAGTAGTTTTCTCTTGATCTTCGAGTGCAATATGGATTTGATTGTATCCCGAGTACCCATCCAAAAAACAATAAAACTCCTTTTCGGCCAACCGATCTAGCATTTGATCTATAAAAGGTAAAGGGAAGTGATCTTTCTTAGTAGCTAAGTTCAATTGCCTATAGTCCATACAAATCCTCCACCCGGTAACGGTTCTAGTTGGGATAAGTTTGTTTTTGTCGTTGGTGATTACCGTGGTACCACATTTCTTAGGCACGCATTGAACCGGACTTACCCAACCGCTACTAGCAATGGGGTAAATAATACCCGCGTCTAACCACTTCAAGATTTCCTTCTTAACCACTTCTTTCATGATTGGATTTAGCCTTCTTTGAGGTTGTACCTTTCCGACACTATTTTCTTCCAAGATGATCTTATGTTGGCAAAGGGACGGGCTTATTCCCCTAATATCAGCTATGGTCCAACCAAAAGTTTTCTTATGGTCTTTCAGCAACTCTATCAATCTTTCCTCTTGCTCACTACTTAAGTTGGAAGAAATAATCACGGGCAATTTTTCTCCTACCATAAGATATGCATACTTAAGATGTGAAGGCAGTGGTTTTAACTCCAAATTGGGTGCTTCTACAATGGATGGGGTTTGGGTTGGTATATGTTTAAAATCTAACTGTTCAAAGGCAGCTATGTCCTCAAGTAAGTCTTCTTCACAAATGTCTTATGCCATGCCCACAGTGTCTCCACTGTGGACACAGTCGATTAAACTTAGATCTAAATCTTCACCTACTGAGTAAATAGACGAACAATCCTCAATTTCTCCATTGAACTTAAGAGTCTTAAACACATTGAAAGTCACCTGCTGGTCATTTACTCTCATGGTCAACTCTCCCTTTTGTACATCAATCAATGTCCTACCCGTAGCAAGAAAGGGTCTTCCTAATATGAATGAACATTCCTATCGGCTTCATAATCTAACACTAGAAAGTCGACTGGAAAGATGAATTTGTCCACTTTAACCAAGATGTCTTCAATTTTACCTTTCGTATATGCCAAGGACCTATCCCCTAATTGCAAAGTCACGGTAGTAGGTCGAACTTCCCCAATTCCCAGCTGATTAAAAATAGACAAAGGCATGAGATTTATACTTGCCCCAAGGTCACACGAGGCATGACCTACTTCTTTCCCTCCAATAGAGCATGGGATGGTGAAACTTCCCGGGTCTTTTAATTTTGGGGGAATTGCAAGTAAGAAGGGCACTACATTCCTTTGTCAAAGACACGGTCTCAAACTCACTAAGTCTTCTCTTTTTATTGAGGATGTCTGTCAAAAATTTAACATAGCTAGGCATTTTCTCGAGAGCTTCTACCAAAAGTATGTTAATATGGAGTTGCTTAAAGATGTCTAAGAACTTCTTAAACTGAACATCCACATTTTTGGCTTTCATCCTACTTGGAAAAGGTAAATCTCTCATATCTAAATCAGTTGGACCGATCTTTTTCTGTTGGGGTGTGGGCAGTTTCTGCCCACAGTGAGCAGTGTCAGATGGAGACTGGGTGGTGCTGGACCTAGGCAGAGCTGCTGTTTCTGAAACAGAAACTGGAATTTGAGTTTCTTCAGCTGTAGGAAACATAACTGGAAATTTTGATGTGTCAAAAGAATGTGAAATATTTTCTTGACAAATCGGCTCCGTGGGTGTTTCCTTTTCGGCATTAGAGTCTCCAAAGTTCTTATCACTTCTTAAAGTCACGGCCTTAACATGTTCCTTAGGTGTTTCCGTGTCACTAGGCAATGTTCCTTGAGGTCTATTCTTGAGATCGGCGGCAAATTGGCCAAGTTGGGTCTCAAAATTCCTCAAGGTGGCATTGGTTTGGTTTATAAAACCTTTGAGTAAAGATTCGAGTGAACCATTACCCTTCGATGCATTTTGTTGCCTAGGTGCATGTGATTGTGAAGATTGTCCGCTTTGGTACATTTGATGATTACCTTGCATCTGATGACCACCTTGATGAAATCCCGGGGGATTCGAAGGTCGATTTTGGACTTGAGTTGCCCCGGGGGGTTGAAGTCCCGGATTTCTGGCCCATGAAAAATTTGGATGATTTCTCCAATTTGGATTGTACGTCAGAGAAAATGGGCTATTTCTTGTATGGTTCCCAACATAATTTACCGAAACGGGGCTTTCGGGGCAAAACTCATAAGAATGACTTTCACCACAGAAAACACAAGATTCAATCATGGAAGAATTAGACATTATGGATTGGACTTGATTCTTTTTCCCATTCGAGTTTAAATTATTTTTAACCAAATTAGTTAGAGCAACAATTTGGGCATTCAAAGAAGAAATGGCATCAAGCTCATGAATGCCCGAGGCAGATTTAGAAATAACAGCACGAGGGTTAGACCATTCAGTATTATTATTAGAAATTCGTTCCAAAATGTCATACCCCTCGTTGTAGGTTTTAGCTGTAAAAGCACCACCGGCCGTTGCGTCAAGAATAATCTTAGCGGCACTAGAAAGTCCATTATAAAAGATTTCCAACTGAATATAATGAGGGATTTTATGGTGAGGACACTTCCTAAGAAGGTCCTTGAATCTCTCTCATGCATCCGATACCGCTTCATCTTCTTCTTGGCGAAACGTCATAATTTCATTTCAAATTTTTACATTCCTCGTCGGAGGAAAGTATTTTTTATAGAAATTTTTCCGCCAAATCATTCCAAGTAAGGATCGAGTTTGGTGGTTGGGAATTTAGCCATGCTCTAGCTCTATCCTTCAATGTATAAAGGAAAAGCGTCAAGCGTAAGGCCTCTTGAGTAACTACGAGAATTTTTAAATGATCCGTCATTTCTATAAAAGATTTTAAATGAGAGTACGGATCTTCCGAAGATAACCCCCCAAACTGACCCATAGCGAAAATCATTTGAAACATAACCGGCTTGGGTTCAAAAGATGTTGCYGTCATTTCGGGCCTACCAATTCCCGAGGCCAGTTGACCAAATTCGGGAGTTGTGTAGTCCCGTATGCCTCCATTTTTGTCATCGGCAATATTAACTATGGCTTCCTGAGGAGGTGGATTATCCCCCATGGTATGGTTGGGATTTCGCCGATTGTTTCTACCTCTTYTTCGTCTCCTAATTGTTCTTTCTAACTCAAGATCAAGAGGTAAAAGATCACCGTGTTGTAGCCGTGGCATACAACACAGGAACAGCGAATGAAACAACTAACCAAGGCTCTAATGAAAATCAATATCTCAAGAAAAAAATCACGCCAGTTCCCCGGCAACGGTGCCAAAAACTTGATGTGCTAGAATGGTATAGTACCAAGGCACAAAACCCCCAAAGTGGCGGTGCAAAGTCCCCAAAGTGGCGGTGCAAGTGCACGCCGACACTATGATCGCTTCAAGTAATAGAGTGGTATAGTACCAAGATCGTTTCCACAAGGACTGGACTTACTGAGAATCAGAGACTTTCATGAACTTCTTGAACATGCTTCGGGTTGAGAAAATATTTGTGTTTTGATTGGTGCAAAGCGTTAAAATACGAAATAAACCTTTAATATTAAAAGACGGGTATGGGTGTAAGCTTTGCTTAAGAATATTGTAGAAAC